TTTTTTTTTTTCGGTATAAGTATCCTTGCAGGATGTTTTTTTTCCAAAATCACCCCCTCTCCCCTCCCCACCCCCCCACAACCTCAAAAGTCAAATGGTCCACCCTTCCAGGTTAGAAAAATTCAAACAAGTTCAATCAGCCTCAGGTTTCGTGACATCAATGAATGCAGAATGTTTAAGTACCTCTTGAATCCACTCCCACGTGAAAAAGATACCAAGTTTGAACAGAGCCAGGGAGACAGGGGCCTGGGCATCAGCATTTGTTTGGGCTGCCATATCGTAGAACCGTTTAGCAAGATGAATGTCCTGACAAAACAAAAACAAAGAAAGTATGAGTACAATGTAGCAGACAATTGGAAGTTTTTTGTGTGGAAAACATGAGGTCTTTACAAGCTGTACCTTAGCCATTTTTTTTGTTAAGTGAAACTCCGGTGCCGAGTTGTTCAAAGTCCAATTAAGCTAACCCAGGATTAGCAAAGAATTTTAATTTCAGTTTTGTAACTTCTCGGTGACGTTTTCTGTTCAGATTGTTTGTCACTCAGTTTTGAGTTTAAATAATCTTAAACTACACAAAACATAAGCAGTGAAAAACATTTTCATACAAGAAAAATTAATACTACATTAACTTTTAATCCTGGGTTAGCATTAACCGGCTTTCAAACAAATCAGCCTTGGGGTCAAATAAGTCAGCTATAGCCTTATAAGGCAAACGAGAGACTGTTACCTGTCTCATGCCCAGTCCTCTCTCATGCATGTAGCCCAGATTGAACATAGCTTGTGCACTGTGCTGTTCTTCAGAAGCTCGCCTGTAGTGGAATGCTGCTGTTTCATAATCAACCTCTGTTCCATACCCATAGTAATGGTAATCACCAACTTTAACTCTTGCTGCTGTGTTTCCTTGGAATGAAAGAAATAAAATATTTTTTTAGGATAAAAACTAACTTGTTAGCTTCAAGACCAGACTAGCAAAAACTTCATTTTGTATGCAGTGTTGGTGGCACCTTGTGTCAGAGGTATCTTCAAATATGACGCACTTCTCTATGAATATTTGTGGTCTGCACACACAAATACCAACAGAACTTGAGTCTGACTGTATTCATGCCAATTCTTACACCCAGTCAAACCTTTTTACTCCACTTTGGACTTAAATAAGGAGAGTTTTGTTGAACTAAAATATAATTATGTACACTTTCATTACATGTACCCACATTGAGACCAAATGAACCTGATATGAAACTGAAGCGTGTCAAACAGGTAAAATTACTATACCCACATTTGGCCATAAAGCTGGCCATATCAGGTGATGCGATATAGCTAGATATAAGGCTTCTGATTGGCTAACAGCAAGTATGGACATTCCATAATCTATCATATTGCTTGATAACAAGAGAATGTGACAAACCTTGTGATGCAGCTCTTGTCCAGTACAGCAGGGCACGGGGAAATGTCTCATTCTCCAATATCACAGAGGTCAGACCTGCAACATTGGTCAAAGCAGACATTAAAGTTTATTCAAAACATTGGACTTACATTATTTTCCAAAACATAATTTCCAGTTCTTTTTGAACTACTCCACTTATTTCTACTGACTGTGATAAAATTGCCAGCATTAAAATCAAAATACTAACAGTACAACTAGAATACTGGTTTATGATGCTAGTAGAGAGAGGTTCAATGTAGATGTAAGTGTCTACATCTACAGCTATACAATGTACATCTACATAGGGGCGCCCAACAAAGGAAGACACCCACCACTGCAAGACATTGAAAGTAAAAAGAGGGGGGGGGGGAGAAGATAAAAGACCTAAAAATAATTAATACAAGTGACAATTAATACAGCCTAAGCTTTTCAAGTGACTCTGGGAGGCACAATGGCCTCAAGGTTAGATCGCTCAACTTTGGATCAAGCCTTTTATGTTCAAGCCCTGGCCAGGGACATTAAGTTGTGTCCTCAGGCAAGCCATTTCCTCTCTCCACCCAGGTGTATAAATGGGTACTGGCAAATTTAGTGCTGGGAGGTACATGTAACACTGTGATGCACTAGTATCCCATTCGGGGAAGGGGGGAGGGTGAGGAAGAGAACTACTCTTAATGACTTCATGCTACATGGAAACCAAAGATAAGCACCGGCCTGATAGGCCACTTGGCTTATATGCAGCCTTCAACTTTTTACTTCTCGAAAGACAGGCCACTGCTAATATGTCTAATATGTTGTTATGGGTAGAGAGAAACAAATTTACCATGATCAAGAATAAAAGCTACATTGCTTTGTGCAACTTCATAGCCCAGTTCAGCCAGCATTGCATATTTCAGCAGAGCAGTGTCTATGTTTCCAGCACGGTATGCTTCATGGGCCTCCATCAACATCTGAGCTATCCGTCCACGTTCAGCAACATTCTTGAAAAGCTGGTTTGAAAAAAAGAAATTTGTGGTCAAAAAAACTGGTACTCAATAAAAAAAATTACTTTAAATAAAAAAATATCTTATTTTACGATAACTGCAGAAATTCTTGTACACTCATTGACTAATTTTTACCGTCAATAAGCGGACAGACATGTCAATTTATAATTTATGCAATGTGTCAAATAGCCAGAGCGGGCAATTTGACAATTTGTTATCATAAAAAACAAATTGATGTCAGTTTTTAATGCATCTGTCCTGTTATTGACAATGAATTTCGTCATAACATTGTCAAAGTAGTCTGTGGATCCACTCAGCTATTGCCTTGTGGATCCACAGCTACTTTGACAATGTTATGACGAAATTCATGATCAATAACAGGAGAGATGCATGAAAAACTGACCTCAATTTGTTAAATTGACCACTCCCTCAATGGGGTTTCTCGGGGCCAATAGAAGGACATAACATGATTTTAAAAAAAACCAAGCTGGCAGGAGGCAGACAAGTTGGCTAGGACTACCAAAGGGAAAGAACAACATCAGCCATGGTCAGAGTAAGCCATGGGTCTTGTAGTTCAGTTAAAACAGTCTTTGTACACTTGTTCATCTCAACGACATGCCCTGATATCGCACTTTCTTAAATTTTCAGCAGCTTCACTAACATAACTAAAATAAATTTTAAGAATTGTAGATTTGAACTGAAAGCTTCAAAGTACTATAATACCTAAGAGGAGTATTTGGGCACAATGACAACTGAAATAAATGCATTGAACTCAATCTCAGGATGGCATTACAATGGAGATGACCTGTCCAAATGTTTACATGTACTTTGATCTCCAATTCTTGCCATACTTTCTGCTATTACATGAACATACATTATAATTCAAAACAAAGCCTAACAAGAAAATTATCCAACATACATCTGTAGCCATGTTACAAGATCTCAAGACTCCAGTCCCTGATGCGTGCATGACGGCCAGATTGTAAAATGCCAGCACATGACCTAAAACAATAATGACACAATAAAGCTACACTGAATTTATACAAAATTAATTGAAATATACATTCTCCTTATTGATTGTTTAGTATTTCTTTCACGTTAGTTTCCAGAATGTTGCAGTACATCAAAACACTAGTCCTTAGTCACTATTTTTTTCCTGTTGTCATTCATCTGTTTTGCAATTTAATTTTTCTCAAGCATCTTGCAGTCTGGAATACTGAATCCTGAAATTTTTCGGACATTTACAAACAACTGTTGTTGTTGTTGTTTTTTTTTAAAACTTGAATTAATTTGTGTGTTGTACAATCTATGATGCCATTTATTATGTACCAGTCTGTGATGCTAAATTGAAGAACTTGATGGCCATCTTGTAGTCACGTCTAACACCAAGACCATCTGTAACAACAAGAAAATAAAAATTCAAATCTGAAATGTACATTCATCACTTTACCATGCACAAATCGCAATTAGCCAATAAGAAGCCATGTCTACTTTCCTGATATGCTGCGATATCAAGTCTATCAAGTCACTGACTTGATAGGGCAACAAAATCCTGATCACTTGGCTGAATTTGGGTGTGGTAAATACCTATCACACCTTTGTGGTACACTTCAGAGGCATAAATATCAGGCTCATTTGGTTGGCCATGGGTATTTTGGCTTGACTGCTTCTCACCAAAATACGAGCCATGACTTGACTAAACTCCCCTGATATGATGCCAAAGCATAGGGAAAAGGTACAATCAGGGCTGGTATAAGTAGCACACCAGAACCTCACAAGGGGTTCGTAATTGGAAGCCCATTAACATCTTTTCAACATATCAGTTTGCAAAGTACTATAGTTGGGAAAAGGCAATGTTGGCAAATACAACTTCCCCCAAAATTTTCATTTTCACAGCAATTTACTTTTTGAAATCTGACCTTACCCTGTAAATTTCTAACAAAAACTCACGAAATTTTTTTTAAGTATCTAAGTGAGATTCTCCAGCAAACAAAGCAACAATGAAACAGAAGAATTAACTACCTGAAATAAAATATGCCTACACAATGAAATGCACCAGATATTATAAGGATTTTAATGCTGTAAATAGTTCCTTAATCTTAACTGTTAGGTGTCCCCAGTTAGTAGAGGGTTTCACCCTCAGCTGTTTTACCTTAGACACATTAACAAATTGATTGATTGATTGATTGATTGATTGATTGATTGATTGATTGATTGATAACACACTCACAATCATAGTAATCTGCATCACAATGATCTAAGCTATATTTACACAAGATTAGACATGAACTCACGGTAATACAAGGTTCCCATCTGAAGGTGTCCATCTACCCAACCTTGTTCAGCAGCCATCTTGAAGTACTGGAAGGCTTTCTCATAATTCTACGGGTTTCAAAAGCAAGACACTGTCAGAAAAATAAATTTGGATCAAATCTCAGAAGAAAGACATCTGTTAACTCAGATCACAACTACGTGTAAATGCAAAACAAAAGAATGCTAATATTTAAGGTTTCTTGCCTTCTCAACTCCTTTGCCGAACATGTACATCAAGCCAAGGCCACTTTGACCAATCGCATTTCCCTGCAGGCACAAGTAAAACAAGAATCAAATATCTGCTTCACTGATGTTAAAGAATATCACTCTTAACTTACAGCATCTGCAGCTTTCTTGAACCACTCGAATGCTGTCTTGTTGTCCTGTTTTACTGCAGTACTCCCCTCTGAATACATCTGTTGAAGAAGCAGAAGTGATTTGTCAGAATTAGTGATTTGTCAAGCCCAGTGACTCATACAACCAGTACATAATATTGCTACATCTAGTTAATCTGATGGGGTGTCCTTGTACAACACTAGCAGTACACAGTCCTCTCACATGTAGACAACTTCTTGCTACAGCATTATCTGCGTACTTCAGCTCCTGTTAGTGTCAACACAATGATAGGAAACAAGAATTCAGCTGGTCAAAATGATTACCGGCTTTGAGCAATAGGGATTGTACAAATACATGAAATGTTACAGAGCACTTTAACATACCTTTCCTAGGTAAGCCATGGCATTTGAATTTCCTGCATCAGCAGCTTGCTGGAGGTATCTGAATGCTCGCTGAAAATGAATAGCATGTATCATAATCACACCAACGTAAAAATAATATTTAGCACTGTCAATTCAGCATAACTGACAAAATTACAAACAAACCAAAACAGAAATAAAAATACATAGATAGCTTACTGCATGGTCCATGTCAACTCCACGTCCTCCTTGGTAATGTAACTGACCAAGGCCAACCTACAAAGAATTTGTTTCTGTTGCATGAGTGATTTCACATAACATAACACAGGTACTTCAATCAGTTATTAATTACTCATTAATATGGGTACTAATAAAAGATAACTTAATCCATGAATTTTCCTAAATGAAATTTGTACAAGCAACATACATGTACAATTATCAATTAATTTAAGTACACGTAGTTGGTTCAGCTTACAAAAATGTGCACCTATAAATGTACAACCCTGAGTCAACCAGAAGGATCAAGTCTCCCTAGCTAAGTACTTGTCTAATTTTTCTCCCAGTATTACCTCCACAATGTCTGGATTGAACCTCACATAGAGCAGGCCATAGCAAATTCTTTCGGTTCACGGAAAAATGGATTTAACATTACTTGTTACTTATGCCATACACACCTGGGCTTGGACATCTCCCTTATCAGCAAGGAACTGATAATACTGAATAAGATCTTCATCTAATACAGCACTACTGCCTCCCTAAGGACATTGAGTGAGATATATTTACACATGAAAGATTTCACAACAGGTGAATACACACTGGTGTGATAAATTTCTCTACGACAAAAACTACAGCCCCGAATGATTTGAGTTAATCAGTGCTACATGTAAGATAACATGACAACAGTGTTTCAATGCCACAGTCTCGTTCTTCACCGTCATTGTTTTTAATAGCTGTTTGTGAAATCAGGCTGCTTTAAGGTAATGAAAGTAAGTGCAGAGTTCTTCATGCATGTATGTGCAAAGCTGTAGCAGCTAAAAACAATTCAGTCAGTTGTGACATGACACTTCTGACAGTCTGTAGAACTGAGGGGTAATGATAGTATACAAATTATTAGCTCACCAGGCAAAAAAGGGAGAAAGAATTCTTCTCTGTGAACAAGCAGCATAATGTCAATGAAAGCATACTTCAAATTTTCCATTTGCTGCGCATATCAATTAAAATGAGAAGCTTAAAGCTTTTACACACATGTAAGCAGCCAAACAGTGCAGACAAACCTGTTCTTCCTCATCTATCAATCGTATTCTTTGAGAAGCAGCTCCACCAGTCAGGGACACATCTTCTGCAACTACAAAGACCAAAAGAAAAAAAAAGCAACAACAACAGTGTCCACCTTGCAATCTTAGTACTACATGTTGTTCATCTTTATGTAGTACATGCATGTCACACTATTTTCACATTTTGATTGGTTCTTGCTTATGATCTATTGGAGGACAGACACACTGATGATGTCAGTAGCATGCGTTTTTGTTTCTTTAATGCAAAACAAGTAGATTCCGTGTTGCCATGCTTCTGTTCAGTAATAGATCACAGAGGACATCAAAATGTGATAAAAACATCAGTGACAGACTCACCTTATCACATTTTTGATATCATCTGTGATCTATTACTGAGCAGATGCACCACAACATGGATATCTCTTTGTTAAACTGTGATCATCCTGGTATAGGTACAGTAGTCCCAAACATGACTGTTGTCCGCTTTGACAACTTGAGTAGAAGTAATCTTCAGAGTCAAGCAAAAAGGTATCTGACAGCCAATGGTGTTAAAGGTCTCCAGTCCAGACTAATTATTGGTCAGTTTTGCTGTGCAGTTATCAGTGGTTAGGACTTGAATGATGCCTGTTATAATGGTGAATTTGGTGGCAATGCAATTTGGTTAACATCAGGACAGTAGAGTGTACCTTCTAGTTGTTGGCAAATGGAGATTGATTTCTCCCTGAGCTCCATAGCATTACTTTCCTGTCTATAACATACCTTTGTTGGACACTCTGCGATAATAGGTCAGTGCTGACTCACAGTTAGAAGCTACTCCTATTCCTGCATAGTAGCGATAACCCTGGTCAAACAATGCAAAGAGAAAAAGAGTTGGTTTTTTGGTACCACCTACGGACCTGACAAGGGGGCCATGCTGCCAAAGTTTATCCTGGTTTCTATTAATAGCATTTGGTGACTAGAAGTAATTTTACTCCCCCCTGGATGGGATGATAGTCCATCACAAGGTTACCCCTTATGTTAAATTTGTCAGTACTCATTTATACTCCCAGGTGGAGAGAGGCAGAGTGAGAGTTAAGAGCCCTTCCAAACAACAGACCACAGTGACCCTGGCTAGGGCTTGAACCTGGACTGCTTGATCCATGTTACAACATTCTGATCATGAGGCCACCATTCCTCCCACCAATGAAACCAGAAAGAAAAATATATAGACTGCTCAATACTTGTAACATAGACAAATATATAATTCATATTGCTTTTAAAACATTTTAGGGGCACTTCTTACCAAAGCCATTAGTGCCTTAATGTCGCCTCCTAAGGCAGCAAACATGTAATAAACCAGAGCTTTAGCCTGACTGGAATTCACACCAATACCAGTTGCATACAGGAATCCCAGAGTCTAAAATAAATGATAGAAGTTATTAAATATGTCATCATTCTGTATAAACTATGAAGCAAAATTTAATTATTACTGTAGTTATACAATGTGCAAATGTAACATATTTGACTTATAATAATCATGGAAAGAAAAACTTCAAACATACTGTAAGCAATAACATAATTATAACAAATTTAAGGCTGGGATGTTGTAAATAGTTATTACCTGCTGACCCACTGAGGAACCTTTGCTAGCAAGTTCATTCAAAATTTCCACAGCTTTGGAAATGTTACGAGGAAGATGATCACCAAACTGTCCAGGAAAATAAAACAGAAAAAAAGTCTTTATTTCCAAAATGTGCAGAATCTGGCAACTAAATCCAGAGCTGTAAGATGAATTCAGAATGGGGTAAAGACACAGAATATGTATGTTCAACGCTGACTGCTATCAAATTTAAACAGTCTATCTTCAATGGCCAATAACCAACAAAAACAACCAACAAAGTACAAAATGTACTCCTAAATGTCCAATGCCCTGCACTAAGAAACAAACAAGGCACTGTTAGAAACTTACCAAATACGATAAAGCTACAAGTTCTTGAGCTTTAGTGTAGTTATGTGTAAAGGCAGCTTCTTCCAGTAAACTGTATGCTCTGGGAACAATAATTTCTTGTGTGAGCAAAGAATAGTAAAAGCCACACACATGAATGTACAAGTAGTAGCCAAGAGCTTGATAGTTTGGATTCTGGGGCAGTGGGGTAATAAACTCTTCTCCCTATATTTTCTCTGTTCTAAATGAACCTGTAATTTACTGAAACCTCTATTAAGTTGACACTTACAAGGTCCCATGAATGTCTGCTTAATACATTAGGTTTCACTGTACAAACTGTACATGAAGTCAACATGATAAATTTACATCATAATTTCTAGGCAGTGTTTACAAACAAAGAAACATAAACATTTATTACATACTTCTTATAATTAGGCTTTGTTTGATTCAGCAGAACTGCGGCATCTTGATAAAGCAATTGGCCAACTTCTTCTAAACAAGCACACCAGAAAAGATTAAAATTGTTTAAACACCACTACCAAGGTTGTCATCGAGTTTTGAGTCACCTGTTACCTTGATATTAACACCCATAACCAAGTTGTTACTGCACTTTGTGGGTGAATTGCATCAACAACAGGCAAGTCCACCATCCCATGAAATCAAGAGCCCATTTAGCTACTCCACCATAACAGATGTTAAGTGGACTTAATGTTTATGGCACTTAATGACAGCAGTGAAACCAATGGAATCCCGTCTTACGATCACCTTGTTAACGACAACCCCTCTTGATAGTGATTACTTTTTCTATCTGAACCATGGCTCATTATCATATAAATACAACAACCAATAACACAAATGTAGCGTCATTTCAGTCACTGGCTCAACGATGGCTGGATTAACTGAGTTGTACCTACTAATGATGTGAAATTACTCCAGAAGTCACTTTGTTTTTTGGTTGCAAATGAACCTTACTCTGCCACTTTATATACCAGTTTGATTTCTTTTAGGTCAAATTACAATAATGTTTATGTTGTCTGCCGATTTGCTCTTTAGCTCATGACGATTTCAACCTTAGTTAATTAGTGTCAAAGGGAAGAGTAACTTATTACACCAACAAGCATGAGCAAATTTGCAAAAATTTAAAGTAAAATATAAAGATCTGATTATCAAGGGGGTTGGAGTTAAGGTTAGGATCAGGAGGCCTTACATGGGATCTGGGCAGGGTAGGGTAGGGTCAACAACTGAGGGAGTGGGTGTAATAGACAATGCACATTATTTTAAATGTGAGAAAAACCCCTTTACATTGTACAGTACATTATATGTGTAAAAATTATACCGTAACTTGGTACAAATTAGGTGTACAAAAACTAACCTTTCAGATCTTCATTTTCTTTCTTAATTTCTTCATTTTCTTCTGATAAATGAAACATTAAAATTTAGAAAATAGCCCAAAGAAAATACGTGCACTGATTGATTAAAAATCATTTTTCTATAACTTGATAGGAACACAGAACTAGTACGAGCTGATGACTCAATGATGGCACGAATAAAGAGAATTTACATTTTTATGATCAATGAAAGTAAACAAGTTTTTATTTTTTTGCGTGGCAGAATTTTTTAAAAGAAATAAAGAACATGTTCAATGTGCTTCTGTCGAGCTTTAGTATAAATCTACTAGTGTTCTATTACAAATGCAGTTGTCTGATTGGCTATGTCACACACTATCTATCACAGAACAGATAGTGAGTAGGGTAGCAGTATGCCCTTGTTATCAAAATGATGGCCACTTCTTTGCATTTTCGAAGTGTCTGTGAGGAGGATTTAGATAAAGTTTTGAACAACCAGTAGATTTATACTAAAACAATTGAAGAAGCTAGTCATAAAAGGGGATAAGTGACGATTTTGGTTGCTTTTCTTTTTTCTTGCTCCAAATTAGCTGAATTTTTGTATGTGGTCTTCAATGTAATAGAAAAACGTGTTCCTGTATTTTTGCCGCTGGTTTTTGCTTCGCTTTATAAAGACCCCGCTAGGAAAACCAAGTGGTTTTTTGCATACGCAATATCCTGAAAACAAAGCAAGGTTTAGCGCAAAAACTACGGGACATTGCTAAACATACCTAAACAAAACTCTATGCGAAATTTGGAGCGTTTTCGACAAAGTTCACTTTTGAT